TAATATCATTATATTGTTTTCTAATAAAAGCAAGACTGGGAACAATAAAAATAGTAAAAAGCATATGAGCTAGTCTTGCTGCAGAAAGCCCTTTCTGAGTTGGATAACTTTAAAAATGACCTTGGAAAATAGAAATCAAATGATCCGTAACATTTTTTCCCTATTACCCCACCTCAAATCATGAGAATTTCAGCTGCTCTTCAGCTAGAAGTCTAGACTTTGTTTCCTGAAAGAAAAACCAAAAAACATGAGAGAGAATGATATGATAAAGATTCACATTGAGGGAAGAAGATAAAATAAGTGTCGTGGTTTTTAACATTTAGGTTTACCAACTGCAGAACCCAGCCTTAAGGCTCTTAAGAATTTTGGCTCCGAGTCTTCTCAACGTGGACATCAAAAATACCCAGCAGGCCCTGGTCTCACCTGTGACACTTGGGCAACCCTGTGCTTTTAAGCCATTAAAACATCCACTGAAGAGCTGGATGCAGAATTGTGGCAACAGCTCACTGCCTACCAACTGTACCAAGAAAGATTTCTGAAGCACCATAACATATCAAGAGGTAAACACCCTTCAGAATCCTCCTTTCACTTCCCAAGCCAAATGATCCCAATGCCTTTTACCCCTAAATGGCTAAATTCATAGGGATAGATGAAAGAAATTTCCTTAAAAAACACACCATAGTTGTGCAGATCTATTTTAAGAAAGAGGTAAGCTGTATATTACAAAACCAAATCAACTTTTTAGGCTTTTCTGTATTATTTTTATCCCTGGTTGCTCACTGACACTTTTCCCAGAAGTTTCATGGGTATCATGATCTAATGCACCAGTAGAAACAATTCTGCATCTTTATCACTTCCGAAGAATCATTAAGTCAGAAGTCTGGAGAAACAGTCCCCAAAGATAATATTTAAAAAATAGGTGGTGGCTCTTAGCTGTTCAGCAACTTACAGATTTATTTATGGAAGCCCATACTGAGTTACTGAAGTTGAAAATACATCCAAAAAGCAAGCATCTGGTTTCCATCTGACCTCCTGGGAACCAGGAAATGGCTTTAACTGAAAATAAAATATTGGGGTGCAAAAGAGCAAGATCTCAGGGCAGAAGGGATGCATGCAAAAAGAATTTCCCAAGGGAGGGGAAACAACAACATAAAGCCCTAAACTAAAACAACAACAAAAAAAAACCCCTCAGCCCACTATCAAGAGGCTAAAATCACAGGTTACAAAAAACAAACCCCATATTTTTGGGCCATATCTAATATAAAAAAATGCCAAAACATGCCAAAATTAGAATATTATTTCATAATTTAAGAAAATAGAACCTTCATACTAAACAGTGAGACTTGTTTACAGGAGTAATTTTAAAGACATATACCTGGAAATGCTTCCCAACACATGTGAGTTATTAGGCACCTACTACACCTATTTTATCTATTTGTATTTAAGCAATATCCAAGCAAGGTGGACTTGCAATTGTGACAGCTGCAGGTCTTTAAGGGGCAGAGAACAATTCAGTATTTAAAAAACCAAGCTGTAACATTGCCTTACATGGGAAAAAAAAGGGAGATTTTATTCTCCCTTCAAATATTTTGCAAACCTTCTTTAAAAGTTACAAAACATCTAAACTGGTTTTCCACAAAAGGTACATACACATCTGCCTCCATAAATATTCTGCTTACAACCTGTAAGTACAGTTTTTAAAGACATTGCTTTCAATATCCCTTCCAAACTCCCAGTAAAGCAGTTACTTGCCCCTTATTTTGTGTCTCTTATTTTTTCCAGTTTGTACGTAAAGAATAGAGGAAGTCAAGTGAAAGCCTGACCAGAGCTACAAAAGCTTATCAAGTTAAAATATTTATAATAAGGAAGCTGATCATGAAGAATTGCCTCTTTTTGTTTTGCCATGTAGACGTATGAAGTTTCTTTCATATCTTTTAAAAGCTGTTGCCATGCGCTGGCCACTGTGCCAACTGGGATGCTGGAGCCTATCAACCTCAAATGGGACCCACTCAGGTTCAACAGCTTACTAATCCCTAGGATGCACCACTGCTTTCCTACCAACTACCAACTCTTATCCTCACAACACACACACAAAATCCTAAAAAGCCACAGCAAGACCGTTTCTTTTTCAAATAACTACTGATTGTTTTGGTTAATCCGTCCCCAGCAAACAGCAAAGCCAGCCACTTCTCTTGACATGCCGTGAGGTTGATGGCATACCCAGTATTTTTAACCCATATTATCTTCACATTATACTTGTCTATATTAATTTTCTACATATTCCACATGAGTATGTGGCAAATTATAACTGATAAAGATTAAAACAGGCATCCGCAGATGGCTGCACAGTACTTCTACAATTTGTCATGAATAAAGGTTACCCTGTGCTACCACTAAACATGTACCAGATTGAACTTACAAACTACATTCTGGTTCCCCTGACTGATTAAACTGAGTTCTTTTACATCTTTCATAAAAAGCCACATGGACATGCTCACAGTGCAAAAGCCATTAGCTCAAGCCATAAGGCCCTTCCAATATTCTTGGACCTCTAGGTAACACCACTAACCAACTGATCATTGTATTCCCTTAAAGCAGCATCAAATTGGGCAGTGTCTAAGAATATATGTATTCTTTCAAGACTAACTTCAACATTCTTACATTGTAGCTCAAACTATCAGTAGTCCATGAGGAAATAGATAAAAGCTCAGAAAAGTGTAAAAATCCCTAAAGATCATTAAAAGCAGTGAAACCCATATAAGATATGCCTTAGATTTTCATACCTATGGCATCAACTCATAATTTGAAGGCCAACACTGTTTCACATTGACAGCATCTCTCATCTTGCATGTGAACAATAACAGCCAAATATTTTAGCTTGGATTTGTTTTGGGAGAAGAGGCAGGAACAGAAGAACATAATTAAGGAGGTCCCTCAATATTAAAATGGCTTATCTTGCCACCCTGTTTATACTCTCAAGTCATCCTTCCCATGGGCAGCCAGCCTCTGCAATTGGCATGAGCCAGTCTGACTCCAAGAAGCACTTTCTTCCAGGCTATAAAGAACAAATAAACAATCAAAGCAAACCTCCTGCTCAAGAGCAATCTGCACAAGGAAGTTTTCACAGGCAGAGGAGCCAGGAGAGCACTGTCCACAGCTTTGGTTTCATGGGATCCAGACAGAATTCGAAACAGCTGAGACAATGGGACTGCAGACTGGCAGAGCTGCAAGAGAGGACATCTGTCCCACCCCCAGATGCTATTTCTTTGATCTCTGCTAGTCTGATCCTGACTTAGCCCTCAGCTGTCAGGTAGCAGACGCTGGTGAGTCAGATGCTGCACTGGGCAGGAAGGGTGAGAACAGGAAGGGACCAGGCTAACTCATGATTAATTCTATTTTCAAGCCATTCATCCCTGCACTCAACCAGAAGCAGTCTCAGACAAGTTATTGCCTGACTGAGACACACCTGCTATTCCTTTCCTGTATCTGATATTAACCCTGCCCATCAATCTGTGGTGACAGGAGAAAGTGGGCCAAATCCCCACACTCCCAGCTGCCTGCTGGAGTGATTCAGTGGGCTCCTGGAAAGTGCATTTCTAAACGACCTGCTTGCCTCGTCAGGAGACAGAAGAGCAAATGACACACTAGATACTATGCATATATGATCTGGTATAATACCTTTTTCATCAAGAAACTTTTAATGCCACCTTTCAAGTTTCACTCAAGAAGATGCCCTAGGCATGAACCGCACCACAAGATGATCCTTTCCTCACAGACTAAACAAAGGGAATCCCTTATTAAGGCTAGCTAAGTATCAAAGGACAGAAGGACAACAGGAAAAACAAGAATCAACAAGTAGGGCTGAACTGTAGCCTCTTACAGAAAACAGCACTCACATAACTGTTCAACTACACATCACTTAGGACTGGGAACAAGCACCACCACCCTGGAGAGCTGGGTGTTTGTCAGACCTACAACCATGTTACCTCTTTAACTCTTGTACCAATGAAGTCTCAGAAAGAGGCAGCCCTTTCGTTAAAGGCACAATTATTTACCAGGAAATACAGTAACTGGTGAAGAAACACTGTTATAGTCAACCAATACTCATTGAGGAACTTTGCACTGCTGAAGGCAGGCACAAACAGCAATCACAGGGTGCAAGTGCTGTTGTTTCCTTTGATAACAAGAAAAGATGGTTCTCATTATGTGATGGCTTCAGAGGCCATTCCTCCTCCAGGATGCTCACTCACTTCATTAAGTAAAAATAGCAGTCTTCGAATAAAAGCCAATAGTTAGCTCTGAGAGACTCTTGAGAGCTTGAAGGAATTTCTTGCTTGCACTGCTGCTCTTCCTGCTTCAGTTCCAGTAACCCACACATGAGCATCCTGCCCTTCTTCCAACCCCTCCCAAAACATAATCCTGGGCTAACAGAAGTATGCTGATATTCAATAAACTGTAAGTTTCAGGAATGAGGCTGGACCAGGCTGTAACTGCTATAGTAGACACCGTAATTAGCAAACGAAGGCTGTTACTTTGTGAAACAGTAGTATTGCTTTGGAAAACATCTCTTTATGACTCTTAAACAGCAGTGTTCTAATCCATGTAACTCAGGGGTTAACTGTCCAAATCCATCATTCTGTTTGCCAGTAAAAGAGACTATGAACCACTTGACCAAAAAAAGAAGTACCCCCAGTCAGTCAGGGGAAGGGGAGGGAAAAAGATAAGATCTGTTTTTAATTAAATAAGTGTTAACAAAACTGAAGCTCAAAAGGAAGAGGAACTAGACTGCATTGACAGAAGGTTGGAAAAGAGATTTTGACTCACATGTTTTCTAAAATGAAATAAATCAAGACACATTTCAAGCTACAGAAGCATATCCTTCAATTGTGAGCATTTAACTCCATGCACTTCGCCAAATCACTTACATAGTTTTATCCTCCAAACAACTGTTAAAAAGACTATTAATTCCCTTTCTTTTTTTTTTTAAACAGGTATCTTACCTTTGCAGAGTCATGTTCAAATTGCCTGTACATGCCTTGATCTTGTTTTGTGCTTCTAGATGAGTCATCCCGTCTGTGCTTATCCCATCAATGGTGAGAACTACATCACCTATCCCCACGTGCGCTCGGGCTGCCTTGCCACCATCATTAAGCTGAAATATCACAAGAACAGTAAATGAGAACGTAGGATAGTTTATGTCTGTGTCCTCTGAACACAGGACCACAGTATCTTATTCACAGTACTGTTTCATGGGGGGGGGGGGGGGGGGGGGGAGTTCTCTTTTCTCCTTTGTGAGTATGTCCCTGTGACAGTTGCTGCACTATCTGTCTTTCCAGTGACACAACAGACATTGGCACTTGAATGACAGGAAAAGTACTGCACAGTATTGCCTGTTTTTCAAAATCAGCCACTACTTCTACTGGAAGATGTGTACAGTCACCAAAAGACGCAAGCAGAAATAGGAACACACAGTTTCCTGGATGCCAAGTTCCAGCCTCTGATCTCTTCATATATGAAACTTTGATCACAAGAGGAGAGATGAAGACTTTCCCCATTCTATATTTTCCGTATAAACAACTCCTTGAAATTTCATCTGTCAATGACTGGTTATGTGCACAGATGACTTTACTAATAGTGAAGCTGACTTTTCCCCAGCAGCAACTATATAGGAAGTCAGAAGTTCAACATCACACAGACCTGTTACTTAGTTTTGCCTTTCTCTCAGTAGGTTTATTGCCCCAGTGACCCTTAGTATATTCACACCAGAATAAGAAAGGCTTGTGGAGCAATCTACCTCTTTGATTAAAGTCACTGCCAAACTTCAGTTTAACTGCCTATGGACATGAACAAAATGATCTTGCAACAAAAACCTTTGTAAAAGTTCACATTATTGACCCAAATTGAACAAAAAAAAGTAATCTTTTAATTTTATGCCACTGAACTTCAACTAGCTTCATCCCAAAGAACTGAAATAGAGCAGAAATAAAGCAACATATGGTAAGATCTATGAACTGATTTATATCCCTGGTCCTCAATCTGCATTTTATAGGTGGCTGCTAAGAGCAGTCCTGAATGGTGCAAATTCCCTCTTTGTTTCCAGATGTATTTCCTGTGTTACAGCAGAAAAGCCATAGCTGCCTGTGCTGTGCATGCAAAACTTCACAACTCTTTCCTTTGCCTGCAAACATGAGTGTGTTCCTTGAAGAAATTGCTATGGTTTTAGGGAGGTGTAGCAAACAGCAGAATTACTTCATCTTTATTTCCAAAAGTGGAGCTCTCCTTGGGCCACAATTGCACTCTAGCAAGTGACTTCTCAAAGGGAGGCAGAAGGAAGACTTTTATCTCTTTGTCTTGCTAAATTCGTAAGAATTACAACTTGTATAGTGCACCCTTTTATAACAGGCTGCAACAACAAAACCAAAATTCCTCCAAAATTTGGTGTTCATACCCAAATTCCGAGCAAAGAGACCCAGCTGCTATAAAACACAGATCAGGAAACCCACAGGCATATAGAAAGCTATGACCAACATAGCTATTTATAGGGAAGCTCCTCAAACCTTTGCATGGGGGGGAAACCTGCCATAAACAGATCCCTAAACCGACACATTACAGCATGCTGACATTTGTCAGCAAGGTCTGGAAAAGGAAAAGGAACGTAAGGGTGCTAAAAGCCAAAGGTCAAATGGATCACTGTGCTTTGTGACTGGACTCCCCAAGTGAATAAATTTCACCTTTCTCTGAATGTATGTAAATATGCATGATGCTCACATGCAATCTACACATTCAGCAGTAAGACTTTAAAACCAGCCTTCAGGGTAACTATTTTCATGGAGGGATGGGTTTACCATCCACAGAAGTGTAAAATAAAACAAACTGATAAATTAAAAATGAACAAACAACCCATCCACAATTGTCATTTGTTTTTTTTCCTCAATTCTGGTGGCCAACACACAACTTACAACTAACTGCCTGACTTTCAAGAGGTCAGCCTTAAACTGTTGCCTACTGGGAATGAAGGTTTTTGCAAGCACACATGGCAGGCAGCTATAAGATCATTTTAGCAAAACCCCAGGCTGAAAATCCCATAGAACTATGTCCAGAAAGCGCACCCTAGAGATGAGGGAAAGAGCAGACAGGTCCTGAGAAGCATGACAAGGCCCTGGCTGCATCCATGAGACCTGCTGTGTAGGCAGGGGATTGAATCTGCCTGGTAGGCGAGGCTGTCACAGACCCATCTGAATAAATTACTGGACAAGGGTGTGAAGAGGGATGCCATAGCAGTAATCTACTTTTCTAGATACAGTGGATAAGACTTCTAAGTAACACCTACTGATTTTGAACAAGAGGTCTGACTAACCAAGAGAGGTGAACTTGATAGTTCTAGGAAATCTCAGCCAAAGCACAAGTCTTCCCTGAGAGTACCAGTCATCATCCTTAGCTTGTGAAGCACCTATAATGAAGTGGACTGAAGGTACAAGGGCAGAGTTTCACCAGATGCAAGAGGAAAATAATCACAAGAACAGGTATATAAAAATAAGCAAGTATCTACAATTCATAAAGCAGGAAGAATGAGAACATTTGAAATTATTAAGGATCTTTTCCAGACTGCAGATGTATGTAGTCTGGAAGTCTCAGTTTTGACACTTTCTAGATTCTGCAAATGTGCATTACCATTACAATAAATAGGTTCATATATGTACCAGGAATTACATAAGCAAAACTGCATACATATTCCAAATTGATTCAACCAAAGCTAAAAGAAAGCTTCCCCATATTCCTTGTCACAATGGAATCTCCATTTATCTTTCTTTTCCCCTTCTAGATTTTGAAAAATTCCATAGATGCAGGAGATACAAAAATACATATGTGCTAAGCTATACAAGAAATTTTTAAATGGCATTTATAAATCCTTACTATTTTGTACTGATTCCCCCTCCCCTCCCCCTGCCCCCTATGAGCAATTTTGTTCTTAAACTGCAAATTTAACCTTAGCTTAATGAAATTATCTGGCATCAGTCACCACTGAACTACAGTATTTCCTATGCTTAAATACCAAAAAACTAGTAAACCAATTAGGCAAAAGAAACAACCTTTAACACTTAATTACAAATAGGAAAAAAGCATAGCCTTAAAAATACACCTTTATTGAATGCATACGTGCAAATAAATGTATTCAATGCAACAAGTCATATGCACAGAAGAATACAGCATTAAAATTACACAACTGGCTACCTACGAATCAAACTAACTTCTCAGCACCACAAAGATTCTTCAGATCTTTGATGGATCTATCTTAATTCTGTATTTACAGCATGAGGCAAGTTTTAAAAATCAAGCATGAATTACAGCTGCTAAAGAAGGGGACTTTGTTTTGATGTTACACAGCAGACTTCAAAGCTACAAAATTGCCAAACCAGAGACATTTCCTCCTACTCAATTCCATGTCTCTGTACTCTGGGAAGCTCATTTGGAGGCAGAGGGGTAGTCAAGCAAGACAGATTTCACTATCAAGCACCTGCTGAGGCCAATCACTCCCACAGCCTCCAGAAGCAAACCTCATTTCAGCCCCATCAGGTTCATGGCTGAAAGCCAAAAGCCAGCCTATGCCATCCAGAGATGCGCAGGACACTTCCTAATGAACATAAGTAAAATCACCCATCTAATCTCACTTTTCAGTTTTGACACCCACCCCCCCCAAAAAATTACTTTTTTGTTGGTCTTGTTTTAAACATCAGAATTCCAAACCTGCAAATATTGCCCTAAAGAACATTTTTAATGAAGACAATCAAAAATAAAGCAGCTCTTGATCCAGGATGAACTTTAAAAGCAATGGTATAAAAAGTAATCTCAGCATAGATTACTATAAGCAATCTATGCCTCAGGTTTTTAAAAGCAAACAACCCAAGGCATACTGGTATACAACTGTTTTCTTGAGATAAGTTTTAGACTGCTTTAATTTTGGAAGATCCTTTCCAGGAAAATCACATGTGTGCACATACATGTGCATCTATCTCTAAATCAATGTAATTCGCAGCTTAATTAATTTCTAATTAACACATAACAGTCTATTTCTACTCGCATTACAAGCAAAGAAAACTTGACAAGCATCTCTTCTTTGAACTGTCATTATTTAGCTTTTATGCAGTAATAAATGAAATACTTAAATTGCAGTTACTCATAGAACAAAGGCCTATTTGGCAAGAGATGGAAGCTGTCTTTTATCTTTTCCACAATGCCTGCCTTGAATCAATCCTAGCTGCAAACAGGTCATGCGACAGTGCATCACAATTACTTTCCCAAAGAAAGTATTTCATAGCCTCACAGTAAATAATGTTCTCCGCATCACACAAACATCCTTCAATGTCATCTACAACTTTCTCTGGGAACATAATTCATTGCTCCCAATTTAAAACTCCCTGGGCTACCTGACATCCCTCCAGCTTGAATTTTATCCCTTGAGCACTTACAATACTGGGCTGGGTATAGCAATTCAGTTTAAAAACATGCATAATTGAAGCAGAAGTCAACCAGACAATGATCTTTGTATCATTACCACTATTGCTCCTCTTTCAGCACTATCCTCCCCTATAACAAAGTGTTTTAAATAAGTACACAACATATCCATGTACAGAAAGACCATTACAAGAGAACTTTGCAGAATCACAAAATAAGCAATCAGACAACCTGTTTTATCAAATAACCCTCTGCTCTTTCACACAGACTTTCAAACCACAAGAGCTTTATCTCCCTGCTATAATGCACTTTATGCTAATATTGACACTCATTAACTGTTACTACCTTGTTTGTATCCCTAGCCTCATTTCACCTGACCAAAGTACCACCTTGCACAATAGCCAGTATTTTAATGGCATGCTCTCAAATGTACTTAGAGCTCAAATTACACTAAAAAGTACCTCTTTGGGGAAACACTGCAAGAGAAGAGAGCAAGATCTTAATGCCCTTTCCAACCCTAACCGTTCTATGATTCTATAGGAAGTCCTTACTGTATTTCTGGAGAACAGACGCTTACTCCAAAATGGTATGGGGAGGGCATGCTTATATTCTGTAGCTGCACCAGCTCCCTCACATGAATTGTGCACATCTGACCCGACTCCTTCTGGATAGGTGGCCCCAGCACCATGCAACTCACAG